CCAATTAACCTCACCAAGCAACAATTAATCCATCAATTTTCGGAGATTAGAGAAGCCAACTTACCAGAAATGCTCAGCAAGCAAGGCTGGAGCTGACGGTAAAGGGAAGACTGACGAGAATTGGAGGAGCTTTACGTAGACTTCTAGCAATTGAAAGAACAAAATTAAGATGAACCCACACATAAATCAAGGATGAAAAGAAGAGTTTCTGGGCTGATTTTACCAGGAAAAACCGAACTCACACCCAGCTGTGGCCGGCGGTAGGGGGGAAAAAGCAGCAGATCCAGGATTCCTGGGTTGAGGGAGAGAGTTTTAAGCTTTAAATCTTGTTGTCTAACAAGAAAAGGGAAGGAATTTACCAAGATCTTACCAACTTTTTTCTTTGGTGGAGGCGCTGGAAATGGCTGGGTTCACTTCGGCTGAAGGGAGAAAGAAAACAGAGCAGACACGAAAATGGCTGGGAGGAAAGAAGGAAAGAAGAAAAAGAAAAAGGGAATGAGTCAGCCGACCTTATCCAATAACCTTTTAACCCCTTTAAAGTTTGAAAAATTGACAGTTAGGTCCATTAATAATGTTTCTTCATCATTAGGTCCCTAACTCAACTTTAATGCTCTAGGAAATTTTGGGGTATTACATCCACCCCTCCTAAAAAGGAGTTTAGTCCCTTAAACTCATACCTCAATCTTGGAAGAGGTGCGGATGTTCCTGTCTCATCTTGGATTCCAACTCCCAAGTAGCTTCTTCAACCGAATGGTTGTCCTAGAGGACCTTAACAAAACGAATGGTCCTTTTCCGCATTATCCTCTCCTTGAAATCTAAAATGCGGATCGGGTGCTCATCATAAGTAAGATCCTCCCGAAGTTGAATTGGTTCGGGATTAATGATGTGACTCGGGTCGAGAACATACTTCCGAAGTAAGGACACATGAAACACATCATGAACACCCGCTAGATTTCTAGGCAACTCCAATTTATAAGCTACCTCGCCAATCCTTTCCAAGATAGGATATGGTCCAATATACCTCGGACTCAATTTTCCCCGGATGCCAAACCTGAGGACACCTCGAGTGGGTGACACCTTCAAAAATACCTGGTCACCAACTTCAAACTCAAGGTCTCGTCTCCTTTTATCCGCATAGCTTTTCTGCCTGCTTTGTGCAGCACAAAGGCGTTCCTTGATCAACTGCACAATCTCAGAAGATTGTTGCACCAATTCTGGGCCTAAAATGCTCCTTTCGCCCACTTCCGTCCAACAAACAGGTGATCTACACCTTCGACCATACAAAGCCTCAAACAGTGCCATGCGGATGCTGGACTGGTAACTATTATTATATGCAAATTCAACTATGGATAAGTGTTGATCCCACGAACCCCTCCAATCTAGAACACAAGCCCTTAACCTGTCCTCAAGTATTTGAATTGTTCTCTCAGATTGCCCATCAGTTTGAGGATGAAAGGCCGTGCTGAAATTTAATTGAGTGCCAAGTGCCTGCTGCAAGCTTGTCCAGAAATGAGATAAAAATCTGGTATCTCTATCTGACACAATAGACACAGGGACTCCATGCAGTTTGACTATCTCCTCTATGTACATATTGGCAAGCTTTTCAATGGAAGTGCCAGTCAGGTAGGGTAAGAAGTGAGCTGATTTGGTCAATCGATCAACGATGACCCAAATGGAATCATTACCCTTTTAAGGTTCGTGGTAATCCAGTCACAAAGTCCATGGTGATGTTTTCCCACTTCCATTGGGGAATAGGTAACGGCTGCAGTTTTCTAGGAAGTCTCTGATGTTCAGCCTTGACTTTTTGGCAAGTCAGGCATTGTGAGACAAATCTAGCTATCTCCCTCTTCATGTTCCGCCACCAAAATGTACTACGTAAATCGCGATACATCTTGGTGCTACCTGGGTGAATTGTATAGCTAGTATAATGGGCATCTCCCATAATCTCACGCCTCCAGGCATGATCTCTAAGTACACACAGCCTGTCACCAAACCACAGAGTCTCATCATCAGAAATTCTGAATTCTTGCATGTGGGGTTTCCCCGGCTCTTACTTTTTCCTTCATCTTCAGCAAGAAGGAATCTTTTTGTTGGCCAAGTTTAATTCTATCTATTAATGCCGGTTGTGCACTGAGAGCGGCTAGATAAGCCGTAGTGTTGTCCATTCTCAACTCCACATCCAGTTTCACAAGATCCTCAAGTAACTCCTTCTGAGTGGCAAGGATGCTAGAGGCAGTGCCAGAGAACTTCCTACTCAACGCATCTGCTACCTTGTTAGCCTTGCCCAGATGGTAGCTAATGGTCAAGTCGTAGTCCTTTAAAAGTTCAAGCCATCGCCTCTGCCTCATATTAAGCTCTTTTTGTGTGAAAATATACTTATGGCTCTTGTGATCAGTGAAGATTTCACAAGTCTCACCATACAGATAATGCCTCCAGATCTTGAGTGCAAATACTACAGCTGCCAACTCCAGATCATGGGTAGGGTAATTTTCTTCATAAGGCTTTAACTACCAAGAAGCATATGCAATAACCCTATCTTTTTACATCAAGACACATCCCAAACCTTTTTTAGAGGCATCACTATATATAGTGAATTTTTCCCCATTAATTGGAAGTGCAAGTACAGGAGCAGTGACCAACTTCTCCTTCAAGGTCAAAAAGCTCTTCTCACACTCTGGGGTCCACTCAAACTTGGTGTCCTTCCTGATAAGACGAGTCATTGGCAGAGCAATTTTAGAGAAATCCCCCACAAATCGACAGTAATAACCAGCCAATCCCAGAAAACTACGGATTTCTACAACACTATTCGGCCTTTTCCAATCAACCACAGCCTCAATCTTCTGGGGGTCAACAGAGATTCCATCCTTAGTCACAACGTGACCTAGGAATGCAACATTATCTAGCCAAAATTTACACTTCTTAAATTTAGCAAACAGCCTCTCACTTCTCAATGTCTCGAGGACTGTCCTTAAGTGTTTTTCATGAAGAGTGGGGCTAGAAGAGTAGATCAAAATGTCATCAATGAAGACAACCACGAACTGATCTAGGTACTTGCCAAACACCCGATTCATCAAATCCATAAATCTGGCAGGGGCATTTGTCAAGCCAAATGGCATGACTATGAACTCATAATGACCATAACGAGTGCGAAAGGCAGTCTTTGGCACATCATCCAGTTTAATCTTCAACTGGTGGTAGCCAAATCGAAGATCAATCTTAGAAAATACCTAAGCACCCTTGAGCTGGTCAAATAAGTCATCAATTCTAGGAAGGGGATACCAGTTCTTCACAGTTACCTTATTCAATTCCCGGTAATCAATGCATAACCTCATGCTCCCATCCTTCTTCTTGACAAACAACACTGGAGCTCCCCAAGGTGATACACTAGGGCGTATAAACCCTTTCTCAAAGAGTTCCTCCAGCTGGACCTTTAACTCCTTCTATTCTGCAGGAGCCATACGGTATGGTGCTTTGGAAACGGGTTCGGTGCCAGGAACAAGGTCAATAGCAAATTCAACCTCTCTATCCGGAGGTAAACCTGGGAGATCCTCCGGAAACTCACGCACCACCGGTATGTCCTCTAGTCTCGATGTCACACTACTAGCATCAGTAACGGAGACTAGGAAACCTTGGCAACCATTTACAAGATATTTCTGAGCCTGCAAGGCAGATACTAACACGGGTGGGGCAAAAGAACCACTGCCTTGGAAACTAAATTTTGGCTCACCATGAATATTAAAAATTACCCATTTCCGATGACAGTCTATAAAGGCAAAATTTTTTGACAGCCAATCCATCCCCAAAATGATATCAAAATCGGAGATATCTAACACAAACAGGTTAGCACTCAGCTGTCTACCATCAATATAAATATCTACAGTCCTACACATCTCCCTAGTAGTCATCACCCCTCCTAAAGGGGTGTTCACATGCAGTTCACAATCAGAGGTATCAACAAGCAAAGCTCGTTTCAAAACATAAGATCGAGCAATAAAAGGGTGCGATGCACCCGAATCAAATAAAACATGCGCATAATTAGAGTTAGCAGGCAAGGTACTCGTGATTACGTCGGTGGCCGCAGCTTCCTTATGAGTCATCACTTGTACTCTCGCCTGCTGGGCTCTCTTTCGAACCCCAGCACTCTGTTTCTGCGCCCCCTGATTGGTAGAACTCTACGGAGAGGTAGGTTGAGTACTCTGAGCTTTAGGATCTAGTAGTGGACAATTTGCAATCCGATGTCCCTGCTTGCCACATTTGAAGCAAACCCTAATAACAGTGTGGCATTGATCTCGGGTGTGCCCAACCTTCCCACAAACGTGGCAAGTAAGTTGAGTAGGACGAGCACTGGGCCGTTGATGGTTTATAGACTATTAATCAATTGCTCCAACGAGAAATTTCCCGGCAAGTTTCCACTTTCGGGACCAAGCAACACAAAAATATCAAACAAAAGAAACCAACACACATTAAAGAAAGAATCAGACAAGCGCCTTTAATCAACCCCACTCTCATACCTCACCACGTTCCTATCATTCCTTAGCTAGCCAAGTTCTAAACTAGTTCTAGGCACTTAATTTAAACCTAGGCTCTGATACCACAAAATCTGTCACGCCCCAGAACCTACATCCGGGGTCGTGGCAGACGCCGTGCACTTGTGAGAGGGTCCCACAAATGCACAAGGCTCGAAAATTTCTAAGTTCATATCACTAACTCAGATTTAGAAACTCAGGTAATATCTAATTTCTTTTCCT